TTGTTAATTTCTTCCAGATCTGGAAGATTAAGTAAAAAATAAGTAATTTATTCTTTGAAGATTTTTCCCATATTTATTCTTAATTTTTGTAACAGTTTGTTTGAAATTAAATAAATTTCTATTGAGTTGTTCTTTGAAGATATCTAACTTAGCTTTTACTATAGTAAAGTCATCTGGATACTTGGGTTTGTTTGATTAATTGAGATTTTCTTTAATTCATTTAAGTCCTAAAGAGAGTTTTATATAGAATTTGTGATTTAAATCTTTAATAAGTTTGTCTGCCTCTTCTTGTATAGTGATTGAAAAAAAAATAAAATTGTTTTCACTATATTATTGTATTAGGAGAAAAGAGTATTTAATTTTTATATAGTCAAGTAAAAGATACTTTACTATATAATTATTGTTTTTAAACAATTTTATCTTTTTCTTAAATTCTTTTATGATATTATTTACTGGAAAATATTTGATAAGATTAATAAATAGGTCTTTGAATAAAAGTAAAAAATGTGTTTTTGATAATAAAAGATTAAAAATATGTATTTAGCATTTTGCTAGGAATATAATAATATTCTTTAAATTTATTTATATGGTATTTAAATTTTGCAAGTTTATATCTTTCCAAGAGTGAAAAAAGATAAGTAACTTTTGGATTGAGATCTTTTGGTTTATTGGAAAAATCAGATTTTTTTGATAAAATAGGTTGTAAAAAAAAAGTCAAAATTATATAAAGCTCTCAAACTGTTAATATATTTTTGCTTGAGATAATTAAAATAGTTTTAGAAAGTTTAATCTTTATTGTAGTAAAAATTTGCTTGAATTATTAGATAATTCAGATAAGTTTTTCTAAATAAGTTTTTCATATGCATTATATAACTTTTAATAATTGATTTTTTGTAATATAAAATTTATAAAGAAGTTAAACTTATACTCAAGTAGCTGGATAACTATCAATACTTAAATAATATTAAGTCTATTAATTAAAGATAAGTAATAAAAAGAATCTTGTTAATTATTTTCTGATTTTGTTTTAGATAGTTTTGATAATATATTTCAAATTATTAACTTGGCGATAGTTTGAATAAAACTGTCTCTCAATTTTTTATATTCTTTCTAATATGGATCTTTAATAAATTTATTTTTTGCAAAAATTCTAAAGAAATTATGATATTTATATTTAATTTTTAAAAAAATTTCTTTAAAAGAGATTTTTTAAAAATTCAATAATTCATTTTTGATTTTTTAAAAAATGTTGATTACAAATTTAAATGTTCTCTTGCATTTGTTAAGTTTTTTATATAGTTTTAGGATCTTTTCTTATTTATTAAATAGAATATTTCTGATATTAGAAATATTAGTAATATTGTTTTTTTGATTTTGATTTGCTTTTAAATATTTGTTTATTTTATTTTGCCAATTAATAAGAGAGAATTCAAAAGTCTTTATTAATTAATTTAAAAAAAGAAATTTATTAATTTCTATACTTGTAACAGATATTTATATTACTTTATATATAGAAGGATAAACAAATATGATGTAACCATATATTATGCTTGTTATATTGGAACTGTTACTTGAGATTGTATAAGAGTTGAATTAATTATCATTATACTTAAGAGTTGTTACATTGGATGTTTCACTTGAACAATTGTTCTGTATAATATTGTTAATAATCATTTTTTTAATTAAAACAAAAGTATTTGAAAAGACAAAAATTTTTTTGTTTTTTTTTTTTAATATAAAGGATATTAGTTTATTTGTTAGTATTAATATTTAATTTATTTCAAAACATGTATAGATTTAGGGTTCCTAATAATAATACTTTAATATTACTTTAATATCAGTTTGATACTCAAATTTATTATAAATTTATATAAATAGATCATAATTCATATATTAAATTTACTATAAATTAGTATTATTTTAATACTATTTTAATACTAGTTTGGTACTTTTCAAAGTCTTATACAGTTTGTAATTAATATTTAGTTTCATTATTTTTTTTATAACAATAATTCTATTATTCTTTATTAAATTAAAAAAATATTAAAAGTTTATGAAGATATTGAAATCTTTAAAAAATATCAGCTTTAATATTGTGATTGCTGCTATGATTAAGAGTAAAGAAATTTTAATTTTTTGTATGATAATAAAGGTAATAAAATTATTTTAAAATTTTTAATTCTATTTAAGTTAAGTTTTATTGATATTAATTATGCTTAAGTGGAGTTATCAAGAAGAGGAATGTTAAAAGTTGTTGCTGGGCTGAAAATATACATTTTTGATATTTTAGTATTTTTAAAAATAATAATTATAAAAAGTTTTTGAATATCAGTAATAAGAATATCCAAAAAAATATACTTATATTTAAAGATTAAAAAATCCTTAGAAGAAGTTTCTTTAGAACTTTTTGATACATGTTTTTTATAGAAAAAAATTTTAGTTTACTTTTTTAATAATTTTTTGAAATTGTATAGATAATCAGAAAAAGTTTATTATTATTATTATTATTCTTTTTATTTTTTTCCTCAATCAGGTTGGTGTTATTTATTTATTAAATCAAAATAAACCATTACAAATATAAATTGTATGTATAAATTTCCTCGACCCAGTTCATCCATCTGTGATAAAAAGTCTCTAAATGCAATTTATAGGGATAATAAATTGCTTGTTCATTAATTAGAATTAAAATCCCAGTTGTTTAATGAAGTCAAAGCTTGCAGATCATCTCTACAGATATTATTATTATTTTTCTTTATATATTTTTTATATTAATTAAGTATATATTTTTAAAGATTTAAGTATAATAAATATATAAATATATTTATATTATATAAACTAATATATATAAACTAATATTATTAGATTTTAATAAAATTTCATTTTTTGTTTGTATTTAAAATAAAATAATAAATCTTATTATCCTTTTGAAGTTACTAATAATTTATTAAAATTTTTTATATTTTGACTATTAATAAACAAATTATTCCAAGGATTTATATTTTATATTAATTTTTATATTTGTAATAATTTTATAATTTAATAAATAAATAAATTTATCTAATTATTAAATTTAAAAAGCAAACAATTTTTTATAATAAAATAATTAATAATTAATTAAATCATATGAGCAATATAATAGTTTTGATATTAAGAATTTAAAAATCATATAAATATTTCAATATATAATAATTATTTAATATTATTATAATTTGAATAGATTAGTAAATATGTTAATAGCAGTTTGATTAAAAATAAAAAAAAAATTGAAATTTGTTAATCGCATTATATTTAAATTATAATTTATAATTCAAGTGTTATAATTATTTGTTAATTATTATTGTTAAAATAAAAATTAGATATCAATTATTAATGTAAAATTTGTTAAATAATAAATTATTTTAATATTTGAAATAAATAAATAAATAATATTTGTCACAAAAACAATATATTCAATATTCAATATTTCTTATAATAGAAAAACCAAGTTATACAATATTAATACAAATATGATAACAAAAATTAATTATGTATTTATTTTTCAAATCATAAATAAGTATCAAATACAAGATGGTTTATTAATATATCATTTTTATAAAAAGTTAATCAAACTATTTTTAATTAATAGTATGATTAAATACATTTTAATACCGTCTATTATATAGATTATTATCGGGTCGAGTTTATTTTAAGGAGTCAAAAACCTATCACCAGTTTAAATCACTTAATTCCAATGCGATTTTAGATGTTTACTTATAAGAAGATTACATAAAATCTTATTATAAAGATGAATTCGAGCTATTTCGAATATTCCTAATTTTCATGTATTTTTTTAAAAAAAAGCATTAATCTTAAATAATATAAAATCACATAGGGGAATATTTTAATTTTTTATAAAAAAATTATGTTTCAAATTAATAAGCATTTTATTTACATTATAAAGCTCATCAATACAAAGTTAATTTAATTTTTTTATTTTAAGACAGATAAATTTATATCAATCTGAATTAAAGACAGGTGATCAAAAATATAACAGGTTAAAAAATAGAATATACTGTATGTAAAATTCGGATTGGTCATAGTTTAAAGACAATTAGTATATACATTGTATTTTTTTAGCTAAATCTACGAATGCAATACAATATTCATCATTACCTCATGCCATAATCAACATACAGTACAGTATACTCTTGACATATACCATACGATTTTGATCATGTGTATGTAATGTTCAATTGGACGTTAAAAAATCAAATCGTCCTTTATTTTTATTAAACCGCGGTCCTTTAAGATGTAATACTGTAATGGTATCATCAAATAAAATATCATTAAAGAAAAACTTGGTGTAGAGTAAGTTATCGGGGAAATAAAATGATAAAATAGGTCATTCGAGGAAAATACTGTGTAATATGAAATGATATTAACAGTGCATATATGTTACAGTGAAATCAAAACAATAAGGTTTTGTGTTTGCGGCAATTAGTCGAAAAGAAGATTTTTTTTTAGCAAACAGCATTTGGAAAAAACATTGGCGGGTAACAATGTGAACCAAATAGACTTATATAAACAAGAGGATTAGTATTAGCATGGTTTCATTATACTGTATTGCAGTTGAAAGTAACGCAAAATGGCATCTATGAAAGAATCTATTTGCCAAATTAAATTGTATTACGGTTTTTCGCGCATAAATATTTCCATATTCCGTAAATGACATTAGAATGATTGAATTTGGTCAATGAATGAATCAAATGTTCTTGAATAAAAAACAAGATTGTTGCTAATCAGTATATGCGTTTGAGCCTCCTTTGACTTTTTTGTCAAGGCTTTTACCATAATGAAAATATAATAAACTCGGCCGTTTATATACATTTATTATGATGCACTTGTTGCACCGCGCTGACTCGGGAAAGATCTGACCCGAAAGTTTCCTGTAGGTTATGATATAAAAAGGGTACACGGCACAGCTCACCAGAAATAACAACACATTTATTTTTCAAATAATAATGGATATTGCAAGAGAATTGATTCGATTTTTTAATGATAAACAAATTGAGCAGGCGATTAGCCATTTTCAGCAAGGAATAAACAAAGGGAATGAAGATTACAGGTGGAAAAAAACTTTGTCTGCCCTCAGAGAAGAACGTCGATCAAGAATATCTTCAGATTCGAATAAGGAACATAAAAAGGTGGAGAATGCCTTGGGCAAAGAACGGATTGTGACAAGCTGGAAGGAGAAAACTGATATTCAAAAAGAAGACGAATGGTTCGTCGAAAGAATCACCGATGAACAGTGTAGAGAAGCGGAGGTGATGCTGCAGGAAATACGAAAAGGAATCAAGACAATTGTTTACGCCCCGAGGGATAAAAAAATTCCTTCAAAAAAACAATATCAAGAAAAATGGTCAATTGCGGGACAATGGTGCAAGCCGTGTAAAAGTCGCTCCGAAGAACACCACGCACACACCTATTGCACCAAATGCGATCAACTCTCCGACAGAGCTCGACACCCGTTTGTAGATAAATGTATTTGCAAGGACAAAGTGATGAGTAGACCAAGGAAAGCCAGATTCTTTGAATCGAACGAGAAAAGAATGATATAATCGGAGATTAACTTTGCGAATACAGTAGAATGAATGGTAATAATATAAAGTTAAACATTAGACAACCAAGAATCATCCCAAATTGTGATTTTAGAAGTAGTCAGAATTTTGCATCAAATCTTAAAAGCACAATGGTTTGGTAATTGAATTAATTGACTTGTGCGTGAAAAATTATGAATTAGAATTGTCATTATCACGTAAGATTGTACCACCATAAACATGCATGTATAAAGTATCTAATTTATTTATAGATGAGAATTTATTTTTCTAAAGTAATATTAACCTCGGGTAATCAATCTCCCTTTTGTCATATCTTACCTCAAATAATTAATGAAACACAAATGAACAGATTCAATTTTTGAGGTTACATCCGTCTTATCTCCTCGTTTGAAGGAGGATTTGATGTTTCTATAGGTCATTCAATTAGCTTATGGTTGATTGAACCGTCGGTGTTTAATTAATTAGATGATGAATAAAATAACTTGCCAATTGAATTATGCGATTACGTTCTTCGGGAGGAAACAAATCAATTTGTTGTTGCGTAAGGTTTAGAATTTTAAGAATCAACGCCTATAGTAGAATAACAAAGCGAATATTTTTTTTTCTTGTTAAATTATAAATCAATGCATGAGTAACATAGGATAATTGGTCGAGAATTTGGCTGACCGCATTTTGTTCCCGAATCTGTGAATCTGCAGAAATTGGCAATGGCTAAAGGTTGAAGCATGGTCTTCATCAATTATGACAATGATAATCCTTAAACTTACCGGCAGAGATTCCTGCGTTCCTTTCACCAAAATTAAAAGTGCCCAAAGTATTTCCAATATTCGTTATTGCATCGTGCTGAGGATGTTGAATGGAAAGTTGACTGTGAGATTGTTGTATAGGGACTTGCAAGGGATATTGTTGAAAAGAAAACAAGTTCGGAGTTTGTTGCACGGGAATTTGCAGAGAATTTTGTTGGAAATGACTCAAAGTAGGTTGATAATGCATCGTTTGTTGGGTCAGTTGCAAACTTGGTCTATACAATGTATCCTGTGGCTGCTTCAATTGTTGCTGTGCATTGGCGTTCAGGGATAACAAAGGAGTTGTTGCAATATTTGCTTTTTGAGAAGCGAAAGTGTTCACCCGCTTAAAGTAAATAAATACTTTAATTACTTTGTTCAATGATTTTCATTACGTAATTAGAAAAAAACAACCTGCAATAATTCGTTTTCAACGAGATTATGCTCCAACAGTGTTACGAACATGTCATGAGATAGCCGAGGATTGCTATTTAATAATTCTTTAGCTTGTGCTTCACTCCTTTCAAATAGCATCTTTGGTAACATTTTGTAATGCATGAGAAGAAACTTCGCGTCAAATCATCGATATTACAATATGAATTCTACCTTTAGAGTAATTAAAGCATCGATGAGCTGCAATCCGTTCATTCCTGTTTTAGATGTAGTGGATTCAACGGGAGTTTGTTTCGAAGCTTCAGAATTGCGCTGGGCTTGCGAAAAAGTCGATCCGCCTTCGTCCTCTGAACGATTCTTGGATAACGCAGATGGCGGGTCAACGCAGTTCGTGACCTGAACTTTTAACCTTCGATCATCGATTTCGAGGTCATTAAAATTTTGCATTGCATTCGTTGCGGTCGGTGAATCGTAATATTCGCAAAAGCCTGATTCAAAGATTGATGATATATTTGGGGTTATCAGATGTATATCCTTTGAATCTTTTGGTTAAAGGAAATTGAATCACCATATCCGGTAGCTTCCGGTCCACCTTCTTCATCAAACGCAAGGCTAATGATGATGATGATAATAACAATAGGTGTGTCATCAAAACAATCTTATCACGCGATAAATTGTAATAACAAGTAAATACGGCCGACCGAAAAGACGCCACCGGTCCGGCTTTTTGGAAGACACCCTTCAGGGTTTCTTCATTAACACCATACGGGATGTTTTCGACTTTTGCGAATAAAAAGGTTCATTCAGAGGAAGATTTGCGCAATTATCGAATAGTCTCAATATAAATAAGAAGCAAATTACTTTTCACAACATTTGAACCTTTGGGGACCACCATGTCAGGAGGATAGGACGATTGAGTAAAAGCGTCGACTGATCAATTTTTATAAACGAAAATCCGAAGATCGGATACGAATGACGATATCATCACAGGATCACGTGTATAAATGATATTTTTGTATTAACCTATCAAATTAGTTTGCTTAGTAATCTAGGACGGGGTCGGCGCGGGTCATGTGACATGACGCGATGGGGAGGAAGGTTTAGGGTGTCTGTTGGAGATTTGCATGACGCGACGTTAGATTGGTGGACGCGTCGCAGCTAATATAAATAGAAGTAATGAATTTAAGTTTGTAAACAATTGTACTCACAGCATAATCATAATTAATAAACTTACATTATTGAAATACTTGTCACCCAAAGAATCCGGTGGTAACCAATATCGTGCCTATTGGCGAAAGATTAGGCCACAGGGACAAGCGGTAACGAACTTATCTGCACACCAAGCATCCAAGAAACTCTCGAAAGTGGTTCGGAGCATGCTTACCTGGTAACATTATGCATTCCGGCAGCGGCTGAAACACAAGGCCGAGGGAACAGGCGTGATGGTAATTATCCAGGATGAGGCGTACACTTCCAAGACCTGCAGCTATCGTGGGAACATATAAAACATCGGCGGAAGAAGAGTTTATAAATGCGGAAACTGTCATACGATTATAGACAGAGATGTAAACGGAGCCCGCGGGATCTTCCTACGGGCGTTGCTTGATTGGAGCCATCCACATGTGGATGTAGGAATTGACTTAGCAATGACTATCAATGATGTGTTACAATCCATCCGCCTAGGCGATTTTAGGTGTCTTGCATGAGTGAGGACAGTCCTCTTTTGTATGCAACAAGAAAATTCCCAATATGATCACCACTCGGTAAGTACAATTAAAATCGAGGCGTTGCTTTTTTTGTCTCTCCTTTCTCTCACGTGTGTAAAATGTACCACCTGAGGATGTAAATCGTTCATGTGACTCCTCAAAAATATAAATATTCAATGCTTTGCAAAAAAAAAAAAAACGATAACTTGTACCTTTTCTTCATCTCAACGACGTCACTTCATCGATAATCTGATCGGGTGGCGAATTTGGATTTATTACTTGTATAAAAATCTGTCCAAAATTCCCATTCTTTCTGCGAATAAATATCATGTCGAATTCTCGAGTTTTTAATCCGTTAACTCTTTTCAAAAAGGATTATCAACCCATTCATTCTGAAGCACCAAACAATGAAATTGAACACGAAGAAAATGATAGCGAGGCCCTTATTCGAAAACCCGAACCTCCTCCTCCTATAGATCATTATAACATCATCTATTTTATTTGTTTCATACAAGGAACCTCAATCCTTTTAGGATGGAATGGTTAGTGTGTAAGGCTCGAGGGATAGGTTTTTTCGGCTTTAAAATCGTGAATTTATCTTCCCTTTTTTCCCGCCACAGTTTTTATTACCGCAGACGTTTTCTTCCGCTCCCGATTCTTTGGTTCCCCCTATTCCGATGACTTTCAAAATTATTTTTCACTTGCTTACATGAGCTCAAATTTACTATTTCTCTTTCACGCCTTGTACTCTCAACAAACGGTTGGTTGGCTGGATATGATCTCGTGAATTTTTATGTTGCGGTGACATCCTAATTTGATTTTGAAACAGACAAGCGTATCTCGCCGACCAATTGTCGCTCTCGTCATATCGACATCGAAATTTTTTTTGGTGGCAACTTCCACTCAGTATACCGAGCTTTTTACTCCTTCCGGATATTTTTATTTCATCATTTCATTGATATTTCTCGATGGAATTACAACCGCCTATCTACAAAACGATATACTTGGGCTTGTTTCCCGATTTTCGCCAACTCACATTCAGGCCGTGATGAGGTAGATGTTGTGCGTTTCACCCATTCCATTCAAATCATTTGAAACCATCGTTTTTACCAACCCAATCTAAAATCATCTTATCCTCACTTCTCGGTACATAGCGGTTATGGTAAAGCATTGTCATTTTTCCTACACTGTGGTGAGGTGCACCTCTACCTGTAAGACGAATGAATTTTTCACCATTTCCATTATAAATTTAGGCCTGGCGGGTGTGGCTGCTGCACTTGCACAAATTTTTAGTTCATTGAAAGAAGAACCGATGGCCGACAATACATTATCATCTGAGGACACTTTAGCGAAAAATGCATACCTTTACTTTTTTTCTGCTTTCACAATCTCTCTTATCGCACTCATTTCATACATTGTCCTTCTTCGATCTTCTTTCTACCGGCATTATGTTCCGATCAGGAGCACGACTCCAAGACAACCCATGATCACCAGGCCTTTACTCGATACCTTTAAAAAAGTCCGTGTTCTGGCTCTTGCAATGACCTTTGTCTTTGTTGTAACATTAGGTATTTTTCCTTCTATCACTTCGTCCATCAAATCCGTGGTCGACGAGAGAAGCAGAAAAAAATTTCAGAAAGATTATTTGTTCATACCCTTACATTTTCTGGTCTATAACCTTGGGGATTGGCTTGGGAGGAATTTGCCAACAATTGACCTTCTGATAATAACCGATCAAAGGAAGTTGGCCACGTTGTCAATTGGTCGTTTCGTATTCATACCAATCTTCCTGTTGTGCAACGTGGATGTTGGCCTCAACGGCCGAAGGATCTTTCCGTTGTTGATAGAAAGCGACCTGTTATATTTCTTTTTCCTGAGTTTGTTCTCCGTCTCCAGCGGTTATTTGACTTCATTGATAATGATGGCTGGTCCTCAGGTGACGGGCGTAGATAAAGGTTTTGCTGGTACTCTATTAACCTTTTTCTTAGTCATAGGCTTAACTATTGGTTCCATTATTTCATTTCCATTACGGTACCTTAGTTGTGGCGGGTGCTGAAATCATTTTTTAAACACGATATTTCCTGCCTAGAGTCATGTAATAATATAATTTTTTTTTTTTTTTTTACCACACAATAACTCGTTCCTGGAGCTGTCAATGTACCATAACAGGTAAAAAAAACCATTGTATCTCCTCCACACGACCTTTAGGGTTTCTTAAAAAAAAACAATAACCTTAAACGTCGAGTGTCCCGTATGTACGTACATGCACCAGAAAACATTATTTTCGCACCTACTATTTACGTACACTATGTGCGATTTGATCACGTGCTTCATTTCACAAAATTTCCATAAATGTACATTCTCGATCAAAAAAAAATTCATCTCCTGCACCTGCTGCATAAACAATACATGATGACCTCCTTCTACTTTATCGAGAAAGGGCAAATGTCTTTCTTTTAAAACGTATTTCACTCCTTAGAGAAGCAATCGGTATCGGGAAAATTTATGGAAGTCTTCCATAATCAACTTACATTCACGGCTTCTTGTAAATATCGCTGGTGTGCATGTCAGTTTGTGTAACTTTTAGCCTTGCTGAAACATTTCTTCTATTCGAAACATCAACGATCGCAGGAATCCCGTATACTCAAAACAAAAAACACTTAGCGACTTTTTACCATAATACTTATATAAATATTCGAAACTCCCCCAACAATTACACCCTCCTTACTTTCAAGTTTAATCTTTCCCTTCGGACCCTATCTATAAGTTAAAACCGTGAAGAGCAAAATAATACACTGTTGTCGTATTGCAGATAGCCTACTTTACCACCCCTGCCTATAATTCGACAGAAATGGATAAAAAAGCGCAAACAAAAAGCACTTCCAAGTTAGAGAAGTTGCACGAGTTTGCCAGGAAGGGTACGTTGGGTGTTCATCTTCGGTAATATATACATGTACATATATGTGTCATAGATCGAGTTCTTTATTAATCTTCCAAACAAATGCATCATTTATTTTGTAGGGGGCATTGGTACATGCGTCGCAACTCGGGACACATTGGCAAACACCCAGGTTGATTTGATGTTTTATACTGGTAGTGTTTTCTTTCTTTATTTTTTTTATTTCTCATTATTTTTTCCTGGCATCCGGTCTTATTACATGATCTTTTTTTAGGAGAGGTAATTACCGTTCTGAAGCATATTAAAGATGATATTTACCTTGTAAGTATATATTTCTCTTTCTCTTTTTCTCTCTCCCCTTCTCCGATTTTTTATTGCAAGCCATTCACCAATGTTTTTTACGCCTTTGCAAATGCGCAATCTATCAGGGATATTGTGAAGGGGTGATCGGACGATTTCGTGGAAGTTCCGTATCGTTTGAAAACGACCAATTAAGAACACAGATTTCCGAAAGATCTGATTCCCTTGATGAACCAACATCAGAAAAAAAGTTACATTTAGACTCTCCTACTACCAGTCACTTCCTTAGCCCGTCAGATGCTGAGCGCGCAATTCAGATGAGATCGAGATCCTCATCAATATCATCTATAGGTACCGTGATGCACGAATTCATTATTAACTGCCGATTTTTTATTTTTATTTTATTTTTTCCTTCATATTTTTCTTAAAAACTACATATTTATTCAATCCAGATTCCGAAAAAAATACCTCGTCTTCGTCAGCCCCACCATCACCTGTGCTGACACCCGCAATTAACATCACCCCAAGTCCCATTTATGATGACGTTAGTATCAATAGCTCGTTCCCAACGTTGTCAAAAGATTCTAGACATTTGCATAATAAGGAATTTCAAAATTCATCACCATCATTTAATAGTAATCCCGATAAAACACAAACATCACAACGCGAATCACCTCAAATTTCAAATGATCAATTGAAATTATCATATCAAGCACAAAGTGATTCCCCATTGTCATTAAATAGTCGACCGGCAATTTCATCCCATAGTCAAAACGCCTCCCCTTCGTCAAAAAATCAGTTAAGACAAATGTCTTCCCCTTTTCCATCACAAAACCAATTTAACCAACCAATAAGCGCGAAGAGGAACAATTCTGCGCCACCGTTGATCAATGATGATTCTACTGATCCAAGATTGTTATCTGGTAACTCCGGAAAAAACTTGACGCGACCAGGGCAAAATTTCGAACCTCCGATTTCCAATGATCGAATTCAATCAAATGACATAGGTTCGTGAAGCTTTTTGTTGGTATGACTTGTCTCAGCATCACATAATAATTCACATGCGCAACACGATGCGTCTATTCCCACCCGAAAGATTCTCAATCCTTTGGGCACTATCCCAATGCCGGAGGTATTGTTGACTCGCCGACGACTTCACCGAATTCATCGCCTCGTGCTAGCAGAAATCTTGGCGGCATTCCAACAACGTCAGGTTCTGACCAACATAAAGTGAAATCCCAGGCGTCTGGTTTGCCAAGTGGTCCACGTCAGATCCATGGTCGACATCGTTCCGCCTCAAATGACATCTCGTCTTCGGCGAGATCTCTTAAATACGAAGAAAGTGGTAGACAACGTTCGTCGTCGAGTGCTTCCAGCACCCTCTCAAGGCCTCCGCATTTACCCACGGGAAATTCTCATTCTAATCCTTCCTCGGCACCTCATCGTGTTTTTGGTCAGTCCCTGTTAAGCCCAACTCGAGCAGAATTTCAAATTGTACCTCCTCGACGTACAACCTCCATCGGTCTGTCCAGTGAATCATCATCATCCGCCAACTCACGTCCACAAGTAAAAATTAACGATCGATATTCACCATCCACCACACCTTCACCTTCGCCCATATCGCAGACTAAAGCGAATCAATTTGTTGTTACAAACTCCCCTCTATCCCAAAATTATGGCAAGAACAGTGATAATTTTTCTACAAGAAAGTCCGCAGTATTACAACCAATTGTTCCTTCGCGCGCCGATGTATCGGATGATCCAGAAGATTTCGTACCATCCACGCCGATCCTTGTGATAGAATCCGTTGATGATAGCGATGTCAACGACAGTGAATATTCTAGTTCTGAGGATGATGATGAGGAACATGTAAAATCAAATGACGAAACACGACCACAATCTAAAAAAGAGAAGGTTTTGACAGTTGATGAGTATGGATTCGTGCATGATGTAGACGAAAAAGAAATCCCTGAGGGTGCTGATGACATTCAAAGAATGTGTGTGAATCGTTGTGTAATTTGAGTTCTTGTCAGTCTTTAATTTAACTCATCGCCTATGTACCTTTTTTTTTCTTTTATTGATAGTGTGAGAGCTCCCGGTTCTTCAAAAAGGGATTCACGTACCATTCGTTTGTATCGGGAACGTGAGACAAAATGGGTCCATTATCTTGCAAACATGGATCCCAAGGTGGCGAGGGAGTCTAAAAAGGTTTGATCTGTTTTTTCGTGATGGTATTATTCACTTGATTTCGACTTCGATGATTATTTATTCCCTTTTCGTTTTTCAGATCAAGAAATTGGTCCGTCTCGGTATTCCAGAGTCAGTTCGTGGAAAGTCTTGGCAGTTTATCGCTGGCGTTCACAAATACCGGAAAGCGGGAGTTTACGAGGTGAGTCATTGGTAATGAATGATATTAGTGTACCTCTTTCTTTCGTTTTCCATTGATTTGATTATTTCACGCAGGAATTGTGTAAGCGAGAGAGGCTCCCCATATATGATGTGATAGAAAGAGATATCCATCGGTGTTACCCGGATCACATTCAATTCCGCGAAGAAACCGGCTTTGGACAGGACGATCTTCATAGCATTTTGAAGGCGTATGCTCACTACAACAAAGTCGTGGGATATTGTCAAGGTATGGGTCGACTGGTGGGAATGATGTTGATGCAAATGCCCGCTGAGGACACATTCTGGCTTCTCGTGGCCACCATCGAGGAATACATGGTTGGCTATTTCACTCCAACATTGTCACAAGTACGAATAGACTCCCTCGTGTTTGAGCAACTGCTATTCGAACATGACCCTAAATTGGCACAACATTTGGTAATAATCATCTACTCTGTGTAATAAGCTGATTCCGAGATTTTTTCGCGGTTACTGCTGTATATTTATTAGAATTAATTTAACTGAGTTTAGGCTGATAGCGATGTGGTTCCACTGATGTACATGACCCAATGGTTCATGACAATATTCACCATGACACTGCCATGGGCATCGGTACTTCGCGTGTGGGACGTATTTTATTTTGAAGGTATTTTGCTGATCTCTTTTGTTCACGTCATTATGTTATTTTCATAAAGTTCATGGTTTCAACTTTTCGCAGGTGTAAAATTCTTCCATCGCGTCGGCTTAGCCATATTGGATTGTGCACGTGATCACATTCTGAAGAATTGCCCGTCATCCCCCGAGATCCTTGGATTCCTATTGCACATACCGCACGAACTGTTGACACCAGACTTACTCTTAGAGGCGACCTTCAAGATAAAGTTGAAACGTAGTACCATCGAAAAGATGAAAAGAATAGCCATCGAAATTGAAAATAGTAATAATAGCTCAGGTACAGACTCGCCAAATCCAATTCACAGCGTTATTAAAGATAAGGAGGCGAGAAAGGCGATGATGAAGAAAGCCAAGAGTAGCGATAAATTAAAGATCGATGGAATTGAATTTAAGATGGTTAACGAGAGTAACAATTAATAGAACAATTCATAGTATTATGATATGTATTATTATTAAATATTTCAATGTAATATGTCGAGTGAACTTTGAACAAGTTGTCACCTCACCAACGTGTACTTCTAGAAATCTTTTATACCACAATAATCCGTCGATGAGTTTTTGTTTTATAAAGGTCATGTGCCTTGAGTGTAGTTAATGTCGTCAGGCCAATTCCAAGGCATCTCATGTAAAGTGTCGAACGTCCACGAAAAAAAAAAAAAAAAAGGACAATGTTCCTTGCGTCCGTCACGAGCCCATGAATTTTTACAAACGTTTGAGTTTCCGATTTCATAGGAAAGACATTGGATCAAGTATCAACACTTTTTGTGGTTTCCTTCAGTTATATTACGTGCTCGAAAGAATCGATTTAGTCACTACGTTTAATCAGAAATGTCCATATAAATTGCCCGAACGTATTGCACAAAACCAAAAATTTTTTGAACAAAGCAAAGAACCAATCGAGAGCCGAGGAATTGTTTTGAGAAAGAAGACTGCATCGGCCTTCATTTTCTTTAGGTCGATAACCGATTTAGGATTTGCATAATGTTCTAGATAAGGAAAGGGTGATCCCATCAATTTCGAACACTATTGATTTGAAAAATTTTTTCGACATACTGTATATCATTCATTCCTCGGTTTGCTGTTACTGACTGATTAAATTTTTTTAGGAAAAATGCCACCACAACATTTTGTAATTCTTGGAGGAGGTATATCAGGTTTGACTGCAGCATGGTATCTGGCGCTCAATGCACCGTTGACAACAAAAATCACGTTATTGGAAGCCTCCAATAGGTTTGGAGGATGGATACAGAGTACGCGTGTAGGTGATGATCGAATACTCTTCGAACAAGGTCCTCGAACCCTGAGGCCTGTTGGGTTGGGTGGGCTCGTGGTTCTGGATATGGTATTTATTTATCGCCAAACGCATCTATCCATTACCCCTTCGCTTGCATCTATCACCAATCAATGAAAGAAAGAAAGAAAGCATCAGAAAGACTCGATTAATCTGTTGTGTTTACCTTTGATAACCGTTCGTCGAATGCATTACAGATAAATAGGTTAAAAATCTCGGAATTCGTTCATGCACTTCCCAAGGATGCTCCGGCCGCCCAAAATCGATATATCTTTTATCCGAATAAACTTGTAAAGCTACCCGGTTCCAATCTCATTTCAGGAATAAGGCAAACTTTGAGCACAAAGTTTTTGTTGAAATCATTATCCGCTGTTGTACGTGAGCCGTTTGTTAGACCGGTCTTGCCGAATCTGGATGAGAGCGTTCATAGTTTTTTCACCAGACGTTTCAACGAACAATTAGCCGACATACTGATTAGCGCCCTCGCACACGGCATTTATGCGGGCGATGTAAAAAAACTTTCAATGAGATCAACATTCACGAATATATACAACATGGAAAAATCATACGGTTCGGTGATTAGGGGTGCGTTCAGTAGAAATCCTTCACCGCCGTCTGATGAGGATATGACTTTGGTTGAAACTATAAATCGAGACAACGAGGACCTAATGAAAATCATTAACAAATCTAGTCTTTATTCATTTAAGGATGGCATCGGGCAGCTGACGAATGCACTTGTGAAAGACTTGAGAGGTAAGCCGAACGTAGAACTCAAAGTTGATAGTCGCGTGAGGGAGTTGAAATTTGAAGACGGAAACGAAATCGAGGTACGAAATCTTTAGCACTATCATTTCGCATCCGTTCAGTCATATCATTCGCATTGTCATCACTTTAGATAATAACAAATAATGGAAAATTCAAAGGCGATCACATCATAAGTACCATTCCAGCATACGAATTGGTCAAGCTACTTCCAATGCTGCCACATCTCGAGTACAACCCCTTTGTCACGGTGGGAGTTGTCAACGTTGCTTATGAACAACCAAATTTGCTACCCATCAAGGGATTCGGAGTCTTGTTCCCACAGGCCACTCCAGATAATCGACATCACGTCCTTGGCATTGTTTTCGATTCCGACACTATGCCCCTTCAAGATCATCCCAAGGATAATTATACAAAGGTGACAGTGATGCTTGGAGGACATTATTATGAAACTTTTAAAGAAGAAGAATTGCCCGATGAGGAGGAATTATTGCATCAAGCGCTTCAAACCTTGGAAACTACATTGGGAATTTATGCAACTCCGGCAGAATACGTGGCAAAATTGCAACGAAAATGTATTCCACAATATTATGTCAATCATCATTCAAGACTTGGAGGACTGCACAATGCTATCAAGGAAAATTTCAAAAATAGGCTGAGTGTTTGTGGTTCAAGTTATCTGGGAGTTAGTATCAATGATTGTGTTTTTAATTCTGCAAAGTTGGCCTTGAACTTGCTTAATGACAGCAAGAAAGACGTGGTCGTCACTGGATTAGAAAGAGTTGACGTAAAGATAGAATAGTGCCTTGATTTTTCTATATACTGTATATAAAATTTAAGTGGCGGCCATACATTCAGCACATGGTCATCTGCTGATAGAAACCTACGTGTTTTTCTTATTTAGATTTGCTGGAAAAAAAAAAAAAATTAATTATTTCCAATGAATACATACGCGTTTATCTTTCTTTTATTTATATTGTTTCTATTTTCATTTGAAGCTTTAAATCTTTAAACACCGCTGTTACCATTGTATGTATCATATGAATATTGTAGGTTCCTGTAAATTCATTTTTAGCAAATTTTAATTCAAATAATAAAATAAAATATCACGATTGTTACATGATATATTTTAAATAAGACATCCTAATCAATCCTGGTATTTTTCATTTGATAGATTTTTAAAGTTGAGATTTTTTTAAAACAAATATTCATAAATATATACAGTACATGCATAATATATATATATAATTTTCCTATTTGCGTGATAAAATTTTTCGAATGTAGCATATTATTTACAAAAGTATTTGAAAATCGAAAAATATAACAATTAAGATTGCCTTTCACAGATTGCAATACACTATTACCATTTTGCGCTTTTGCATCATCAAATATAAGGTTTTAGTTTAGTATATAGTGCCTGCAAGTTGCATCGCATCTCCTGCATACATGCTATTCAATTAGCCTTTGTTATCAACTCTTGAACCATTCAACGGGATTAAATTAGTCATTAAATCTATGCGATGCTACATTATCCAATTTTATTCGAGAAATACATGATCTTTGCTAACAAGTATTTACTGTATACTGTATATAGTATTTTTATTATTTGCAAAGATATGATATACAGCAATTCGATTGAAATTGGATGAACAACGCGTTTCTTTAAACTGGATACACTGATCTTTTATTATATTGTTAGAATTCATTTTCAAAATGAGAAAAACGATCGTTTCAATAAAAGATTTGAAAAATCGTGATGTGTCGATAATATCCAATAACTGATTAAAGACACGTAAATGCAATGATTGAATTAGTCGAACGAATTTACATTGAGATTGTTTTTTTTCATTATTTATTTTATTTATCCTCCATTAGTAATTGAACCAGCAATGAAAGAAGTCTCCAGCTATGTATTATGTTTACTGACAATATTATTATTATTATTATTATTATTAACCCATCTATGAGACTGAATTTACTTGTTACTCGCTGAATGCATCTATTTGACATGGAAATTGATGCAATCATCTTGAGAGCCACGTTGGGCAACAGGCATGATCAAAGGTTGGTGGGTGAATGATGAGCTCATAGTACACATACGATAGAAACCTCTCGGTAGGCCGGGTTGGGCCTTGGTTCCGACTACTTGACATAAAACACCAGAGCCGTCAGCGGGATCATTCAAACCCTTGAAGAAAGCGAATACAGTGGGATCGGGGACATCATTTCGTCCTTCCAATGCCTGGATGACAATGTGACTGTGTCCTTTGATGAATCCATTATCACCAAGTTGTTGGGGCAGATCATAATAATCTGTTAGAGGATCGGAAAAGAAACCTGTGTTCAGATGGATACTCTTAACTTTTGCAGTGAAATTTTTGTTAGACCGCAATACTTCGCCATTTCTAGGAAAGAGAATTCGAGTAGAGACCATATGAGAAGCCGATGGAATTTCGCCAAAGGTCTGACTAGAACAAAAGCCTGCTTTAATTTGCGTGCCATCGGCGGGTTTTAGACTATGTTTATGTTTTTTACAAATGCCAGATGGTGGTGGAGTTTTGAAAGAATTGGGTGCGCCGATTTTAGCCTCACTTAATTCAAAGATTAAGGTAGCGGCGAGAATGAGAATAATACCAAGACTGAATTTCATGTTAATAATTTGATTTTTCGAATTACCGAAAATGAAAGGACAGGTGATAGAAGGATGTCAGCGGTATTGCTGGAAATGAAAGGATAAGGGATAGAAGGCTATCGGTGGTATCTTTTGTGAAGAGAAATTCTTTTGAGATAAATTCATAAGGGCTTATATAGCGATCAAGAGCAGATCGAAGTCGGTCAATTTTGTACAAATAATTAGTATGAAAAAATAATAAGTCCAGTAATTGTAATTTGATTTACCTTGTGACAAACAAAGTATTTTGTATTGTACTGTGTTATTTGTTATATATTTCAGAATACGATAAAGGGTATATACGTGATACATATGAATCATAAACTTATAGGATCGATTGAAAAAATTGATGCAACGATACTTCCTTTGGTTTTACTAATGACAACGATACGTGTATTTTGAATCTAATCGCATACACCCTTTTTTGGCGAATCCAACTAAATTTCCGGGATGCTTGTTTGAGTAGCCAATAAATAACTTGAACACTAAGGGAACGACATATAAATTGGGATTTTCTTTAACATCCTACATTCATATTACACGAATCAAAGCCAATAAATTTCACAATGAATTTTTTATTCTTTTTCTTTACTAGTTTAAATTATTCTCATACTCAATTTGGATTTCTAAAGGCGTCATCCATCCATGGATGGACCACCATTGATGAAGTAGTTTCCTTAGTTAATTAGCTTCATGATCTTTTTAAACATTAGTAGCCACGTGATAGTAAAACGGGAATAAATCTTCATGACGCAATGATAATAATAATAACACGTAGGTTTATCTTTAATTCAAAAAATAAATAATTGATTTTCGCAGTGTTCATAATAAATTTCTACATACCGGAAAGAGAATAGCGTAATGTTCGAAGTACACGGAATCAGTCATTTTTGTACTAACGGTCCGAATTGTAAATTCTAAAAACGCATTCTTCAATGTTTCCACGTGCATTAAATTGATAACAACATGGAATTTCTAAAGTCACTTCTAGGATTCACGAAATACATCTGAAACATATCACGACCTACTAGTCATATATTTGCAGACACCAGAAAGAGAATCAGTACGAAAAGCTTGAAACAAAACATTGCATATGATTCACACGATCTACAGTGTCTCCACGTTATTCGATTTCTTTATAAAGTAGTAATTAGAGATGCTTAAACGGTTTTAAATTTCGATTCACTACATAAATTGCAGTTTAACCGGTTCCAATATAATCCCACCGCTATAGTGAAGAATTTGTTTGAATGATACAATATATACAGGATGTTATACGTAACTCGAAATTATAATTAAAATACTGTATTAATGATTTCAAGTAACCATATACAGAACGATCTAAGAAACAATTTTGCCTAACATGCAAAATAGGATTCTTTTTTTTTTTTATATAAATTAAATTTTGACAAACGAATAAGAATTTCTTTAACAATCGTTCAAATATAATTAAAAAATATATATATTATTTTCAAACTTTAAATTTTGTATATTTATTGTCTTTTTTTCACCATTAAATAATTAATACCATTTATTAATTTTGTTCAAAATAGTAATATGAAATGAAATCAATGTTCAAGATTATATTAATCACCAATTTTATGTTTATCAAATAACAAATTAAAATTTTTTACTATAGAAAAGTTATGAATTTTTTGGTTTGATTTATTTTATTTATTTTTTAAAATTTTTGTTAAAATATTTTTTTGTTATTTGTTTTTTAATTTGTTTTTTTTTAATCCACAATCAAGCTGAAACTGTTTATTTATTAAATTATAAAGAATTATTACAAATATAAGAATATATGCAAAATACAAATCCTTATCTGTTAATAGTTAAACTCTCTAGATACAATTTATAAAAATGATATACATACTGTATTGCTTTTTTAATATATAGAATTAAAATCTGCAAATTATCTCTATAGTAATTATAAATCAAAATTGTATTATTCTTCTCTTATAAAAATTATATAAAAATTAAATAGAAATAAAAATAAATAAAAAAAAAAACAATACAAATATGTATTAAAAAAAAAAAGAAAAAAAAATTATTATCTAATATAAATTTATAGTAAATTCAAATATTAAACTGATATCAAATTAATATTAAAATAATATTGTTAGAAACCCTATACTTTATACAAGTTGGTTTTTAAGTTACATAAGAAATTTAATATATTTATATTCAAGTATAGTGAGAGTATTTAATAGATAAAATTATATTAAAGATTATTAAAAAAATTGATACTCTCTGTAAAAACAAAACCAGTACAGATAAAGCCCATGGCTAAACAGAAGTTGTATTCTGCTTGATATTCATATCCCTAGATTTGGCAATCAATGTCAACTAAGATCTTTGAAATATCTATTGAGAGATTTAGGAGTAATGTTCTACTTGGTCATTTGACTCCAGATTTGATAGTTTGTGTCAACCAGAGAACCCCCTAAAATATTTATTAAGAAATGTTAAGTAAGCCCATAGGTATCAGTATAGCTAAACTGAAGGAAGAGAATGTAAAAAGAACCTAGTGATAGTTAATAGGCAAAAAATACACTTTGAAGAAACCCTGCCTAGTATACAAATCCATTTTCAAGGTGTAAGTTAATACAATCAGATTAGAAATAAAAGTGATATTAAAGTTAGAATAACTAGAATAGTTAGTCAAATCTTTTATATAATGATTGTAATTTCAATATTGAATTAATAAAAGTAATATATTGTGTCTTTAAAAAAAAAACATTGATACTATTATTATTATCTTATAAAAAAAAAATAAAAATTCATAATTTAATATATTGAAGCTTTTAATTTCTTTCTTTACAACAAACTTTAAAATTATTAATAAAAATAATTTTCAATTTTTAATAATTTAATTTATTTAATATATATTTTAGCTTAAATATTATTAAATAAATTAATATAAACAATTGAATAATAATATTATTTTAATTAAATTTTACAATTTTGTTCTAATATTGAAATTAAAATATAATAATTTCAAAATTTAAATTTCAAAAAAAAAACAAAAAAATATAAAAGAAAAATATGAAATAATTTTAATTTTATTAAAAAAAATTAAAAAATTATTATAAGAATTTAAAGTTTTTTTATTATAGATCCAATGTATTTTTTCAAAACTGAAAAAAATATAATTTTTTTATAATGTTTTAATTAATATTAAATTGTTTTTAGTTTAATTGTTTATATATAATTTATTAATTTATATAAAGAATTAATCAAAAAAGTGTTTGAATAATTATTTAAAAAAATTTTTATTTATAAAAAAAAAAAATAAAATTATTTAAAATTATACTATTTTAATAACAAAGATATTTTTCTATTTCTTTTGTAAATAGTTATTTAAAACTATAAAAAAGCTTGTAAACTTGAATTTTAAATTAAAAAACTTTGAATTTGTTTTACTATTAAAAACTATATATATATTTAAATAATTTTTTTTTTTAAAGTTAAATAGCATTAAATGCAAATTTTTATTGATAAATATCATTTATTCATTACATCAAATATCTATTTATAATATATATTTACAATTAAATGCTAACCTATTAACTTTATTTATCTGATATCCAGAAACCTGTTACTTAATAACCTTTCCTTATGATATCAAGATGCTATAAGAGGTAAAAATCCTATTATTAGTTTTAAACTACCTAACTTATAGAGCTTAGTCATAGTTTTATGCATATACTATTAATTGCCCAAGTATAAATTATTTATTATATTATACATTTTTGTTTACACGGTATATACAATAGTAAGAACCTTTAATATAAGTATATACTTTCTAGTGAATACTTTAGTTTTGATCACTGATTGGTTATAATACTTTCAAATCTAGAGACCATATAGTCAACAGGAGTATGACTCCTTAAGAATTTATATAAATATGAATTTGCAAAACATTACCTACAGATCAATCCTTAATCTTCTAATAGACATATTCAAATTCAGATCAATTGATATAAGTTATCAAATCTAAAGATATAAATATTAAGCAGGACACAACTCCTATATACTTTATCTTATTACATGATAATCATATCTTTATATAAGAGGTATTGATTCAATACTTACTTTAAGGCTTCTTATTTAAGCAACTAATAGGTAAAAGAAATGGTAATCAGAATTGATTAAAATGAATTACAATCCAATTTATATATTCAAATGTAATATTGTTTATATTGTATAACAAATTATAAAGCTTAACTAAAATTAGATCAGAAGTTTTTTTTTATGTAATCCTTTTTTTTTGTAGTCTATTGTAACCTTAGAACTATAGGAAAGATCAGAAGTTACATCTTTATGCAATTTAATTAGAAAGGAAATATGGTAAATTTTTGTAACAAGATGAGTTTGAACTCTAGACCTTCATCTGGTGACCTATAAAGCTTTACTACTGAATTATAGATTTATAGGTTTAAATATTTAGATAATTTTAAAAAAAAACAATAATAATGTATATTATATAAAAATATACTGTATATACAATATATAAAATAAATTATAATAAATTAGAATAAAATATAATAAAACAAATAAAAATTTTAAAAATTTTAGTAATAATATCTAATTTTGTATATGGATTTATATTATTAAAAAGTAAGTAAAAATTTATTATTATTATTAACTTTGTAGAAATAATTAAAATTTTAAAAAAATTTTTTTTATATATAATATTTTTTAAAAAAAATTTTTTATAGTAAATTTTTTAAAATTAAAAAACAATTTTTTTTCACTTTTCAATACTTAAAGTTCTTTTTACTTTCTTTATTTTTATTATAAAAACCTTAAGAAATCTGAAAAAATATATTGATTCATTGAAATAAAACCTTTAACTAGAGAAAAACAAGTTTAAAAACTTTGTTTTTTTTAAAAATTATATAAGAAAAGATTTATAATAGTTACTTTTTTACAAATTTTTTTTAATTATTATTATTTTTATTATTTTTTAGTAA